TGGCAAATGTAGGCAGGACTGAGTTGGCTTCTGTGTTGGCTGCCACGTGTTCCTGATCTGACCTCTGTCACTAGCCCTGCAACTTGTCTGTGCCTGGACTCCTGCCGTGCCTTTGCCCGGTATCTGTCCCTTGCCTGTTCCTGACCTTGTCTTTGCCTCTGGACCTGCCACACCTTGCTGGCATCTGACCTGTGCTTATCCCTGACTCTGCTTTTGCTTCTGTCCCTTTGCTTCTGTCCCCCTCCACTGCTGATATTCTGGTCATGGATGGCTGCTGTTTATGTCCAGGAGCTGACAGTTTGACCTAAATTATTGATATTAATTAAATGCCAGTGCAGTTGTTAAGCCCATGGGAGTGCAGCATCTCTTTCCTATGAAAGTTAATCCTTGTAGTGTTCTGAGGACCTTACAATTTATTTAAATACTGAGATGTTTTTGAAAGGCTCTAGTGCAATAACAGGACTCCATGTGGTCATGGGTGTAAAGGAAGTGAAGCATGTGTAGGGAATGGTCAGTGTTGCCTCATACATTACTCTAGTTCTTGGAAAAAGCAAAGGAAACTCCATAGCCCAGACATTTTAGAAAGCATTGCTTACCATCTTCTAAATATTCAGAAATGGGCTGCAGGCTTGGAATAATGTGCCTCAGGTGTGCCAGGTATTCTAGGAATATTTCATGGTTTGATTCTTTTCCCAGCACAGTGTTGAGCAGAGTTTCCACCAGTTTTTGTTGATCCTTTATCTGGTTCAGGGAGAAGAGCTCCTTGTGTGTGAAGAGCTGATGGGAATTTGCCACATTCAAAAGCAATGCAGGGTTAACTTCAAGAAGAGCTTCTGCTAGCTTCCTTCTGGCCTTCCCTAAAAGACTGGAGGGATTTTGGCCAGCAGCCATCCTTTCCAAACCATGAGAACTAAAAGAAAGATAGATTAGTTTTAGTTCTTGTAAAATTACAACTCAAAATAGAAGAGATTCCTTTGCATAACATGCCCTTTAGTTCTCACAAATGGCAGATTATGTAGTCAAGATATTTCCGGTTAGGGTGACACATTCTTTCTGCAAGAGGAGTGTTTCAATGCTCCTCCACAGAAGAGAGTTTCTCTGTGCAACAGAACAGCAGATGCCAGGGAAAAAGGTTCTTTCCAGCCCAATTCCAGATGGGGAGGATGGAATGCCCAAGAACAGCCAACATGCCTTATATTGTCCTGCCCTTGTATTGTCATATGAAGCATCTTCTGCAACAACGGTCCACCGATGTTATACAAGGCTGTCCATTGCTCACATCAGTAGCTCGCAGAATGGATTACAAAGTGCAGGGAGCCCTCTTCTAGCAGTAAGTCTCAGTTCTTCACAAAGCAATACAGGGTTTCCCAGAGGGGTTTTTTTTCCCTCATACAGATTTTTTTGTTTCAGCAACCCCCCCACCCCTTCCTCTATGGCTGATGACCTTCCACATATGTATGGATGGTGCTGTTTGGCTACACAGGGGCCTGCACTGGATCCCTGAACCTGTTGCTTTCAGGAGGTGAAAACATATAGGCATTATGTTGATCTGTACTGACTGCCTTACATCAAGCCCCAGGCTAAAGGTGTAGGAGCAGGAAGGGTGGATCTGCTGGTGGTCCTATTGGAATATAAGAGTTTTTGAGAATCATATTTTCTCGTTTCATCTGGTAATTTCAGTAGGTTTTCAAATGGGAATAGGAACATTCTGCAATCCATTTCTACTAGGCAACTTCTGTTTATTAACTGTTACAAGAAAAGCTTTGGACTGCCTCCGGACGTCCTTTATTCTGAAATACTTTTTTTTTTTTGCAACTGAAGGCAGCATTGGGGCAAAAAACAAAAACAAAAAACAACCTGTGTCACAATTTAGCCATCTTCCTTCCTGGTTTAGCGTTCCACTTAATAAAGGCAGAGTCCATGAACTGAGAAAAACCGCTCATGAAATAGGCGCAGCCGACCAAATTTAGGAATGTTCGGCAATTCGGAGTAAAATTCCACATGCATACTCTTTCTTTTTTTAGTTGCTTTAATCTGAAACACCCTACAACCCAAACTCTCTGGTCAGGGCATAAATACATTAAAATGCAATAAAGATAATACAGAAATCAACATGAAGTCACGTATTTTCTACCCCAGGTAAGAAGGGACAGAACATACCTCCTGTTTCCTGGGGGAGCAGCAAGAAAGCCCTTTCACGGTTCTTGCCAACAAAAAGCTTGTCGGTCCGACGGATTCTGGAGAGCGCAGAAATGAAAGCGAAAATGAAACTCCTACTGCTCGGCAAGTGCCTTGAAATCATTCGGAAGTTCGGATCAGCAGCTGCCTTCCGGTCAGGGAGAAACGTTTGCTCGAACCCCCTTCAGGCATTTGCTATCTTAGTAAGGTGACACCTGTGCACGGGGAGCGCCAGTGAGCCTCGTGGGGCGGCTGTAGGGCGGGAGTGCGGAGGCAAGACCTCAGCAAATTAAAGATCCAACTGGTTCTGGCCCTCTAGGTGTGCATATTAGTCGAGCTCAATGTATTCATCAGAAATCACAGCCGTAGTATCATTCCCTTTTTCCCATCCGTATTTATGTCAGGAAAGCTGCAGAGAACTTCTGCTCTGCTGAAACTGCAATATCGGATTAAATGATGATCTCGCTTTCTGCTGCTCTTCTGCAAGTACCCTCCCCTTCGCCCAAACACGAGCCAGAAAGCAAGCGATTTCCCGCAAATCAGGCTGAGCTTTTGCACCACCTCCTCGAGTCACGAGAGGGCTTTCAGCCAGGTGGTTTCCATTTCATTGTAAGAGTTCCTTAGCCCTTCCTTTCTCTTGGGATAGGAACACCCTGCAGTGGATTCCATTCCAAAAGGAAGAGCACAGCGTGGCTCGAAATATTTTGGTGCCAGAGCAGAAAACCTTAGGAGTAAAACACATGGGAACCACTTTTTAAAATTATTATTGTAAAGGCAAGTGTGCTGCATGCTGATAGTCCCCTGCAATCATAGAATCACACTTCTGCTCTTACAGTGCTTACTCTTGCAACAGCTTTCCACGCTGACAAACTGAATGTAGTTTATCTTTGTGTAAGCTCACATGGCCCTGATAAGGGTTGGGGCCACATCACCCTGAAAGGAAGGGTTAGACCCTATCCTGCACATTTTGTTATCAAAACCTCCCTGTGCCACAACATTACAGAGAGAGAGAGAGAGAGAGAGAGAGAGAGAGAGAGAGAGAGAGAGAGATATTGTGGGGGAAGAGGGTTGGAAAAAGTCTCCTTTGGAATAAGAGGAGCTTTGTTGCTTTCTATCTTTCTATTCCCCCCCCCCCCCCATCCCTGGGTGTTAGAATGATTAACAAAAGAAATGTTTTAACTGTTCTCGCACAAGGGTTCTAGTCTGAATTACAGCCCTGTGTACTGCAGAAATATATGTGTGGAGGGAGGAGGGGGTGTTTGCTGAGAAAAAAATCAAGAAAGGTGTGTGTGTTGGGGGAGAAGGTTGCTCACTGAGGCCAAATGTTAAAACTTCCTTCTTTATGTAACAACCATGAGTTTTTTGTTTTTTTGGCCCTTCACATCAGACTTTAATCACTCTTTTAATTGCTTCTAAACTGTCCAGAGCCTATGGGAATGGGGCTGCACATAAAAATTAAAATACATAAATATATAAATAAAATCAAAGGAATGCCAGGAACCAGCAGGGAGTGTATTTGACTGGCATGGGTGGGGAAGAGCTATGGAATGTGGCTGAAGTTAGCGAAAAAGTCCTTGAGTGCTTGTATTGGCAACAGTGTCTCTTGAGTCCCTTGGAAGGGTAAGCACACATTCCTTAGAAGTCCAAAGTACATATGAGAATTCCCTTGTGTGCAACACTTCCCTTGAATAAATCACAATATGGTTCACAGTTCATTTTGTGATTGTGCCCATTGCATCTGACCCTCTAGTACCATCTACTGGGAGATGTTTGAGTACTTAAGGGTGCAGACCCATCATCCTTGCAGCAGGTGTTTCAAGCCTCTAACCTTGGAGGTTTAAGAGCATCCATTGGGAGGCAAGCCATCAAATCCCCAAATTTTATCTAGGTGTCCATTTCCAGTTGTGGAGATTTAGGGCTGGGGAGGGGGCGAGAAGGAGGCTGAGGCAGCTTTGGACCTGGCACAACTCCATGGCCCCAGCCTTCTTTCCTCCCTCACACATCCTTTTTTGCCCTCTGAGGCCCAGCTGTGGCCTTGGGTTGGGGCAGGTGGCACAGTTCTTTCCACACCAGCTGTGAGGGGGAGGGATGGAGGGTTGGCCTGGAGAATTGCAGTACCTCAGTGCACATACTCCAAAAAACCCTTTGGCCTCCCAGATAGTGTTGGAAGGGCAGAGGGTTGCACTTCAAGGGAAATGATGGCAAAAGAAAAGAGCCAACATGTAGAACTCTTGAGTTACAGTGGCGCAGAGTGCCTTAGGCCCAGAAACATAAGCATTCACTAAAGAAAAATAAGAAACCACATAGCTGGGATAGCCCAGTGATGGAGCAGGTGCCTCATATTTTCATGTAGTTCTTTTATATGACCATCTTAACTGATCTTGGTACAGTATGTTGCTGATGCTTTGGTGTGTAAGATATTTATTTTTTGAAATATGTTGAATCCACCCAGAGAGAAAAGGTGAGATACATGTTTTTAAAATAACTATTACATAAGAAATAAATGTTCAGACAATCCTTTTATTGATTTAAGAAAATGGGATAATATATATAATCAGTATGAAAATCACACTAGCATAAACACTATTGTTCCTAAGATCAAAGTTTTCAAATATTATCCTTGCCATTAACTTTTCCTGCTTTTGTTTTACTAACAAAGAGAATATGAGACAGGAAGGAAAGATGGAGGAGGCTGAAATACAAAGAACACAATTGTGTGCACCACTATCATAACAGAATAATTTTTTCTATTTTTCTGGCAAGCAGCATCTCCCTATCCTATTGACAAGGAAGTGTATTCAACTTGTTCTTTCTTTTTTCACTCACTTGGTGCTCTAGAGAACTTCTGTTCTCTGCTGTGATATATGAATGTTGGCACTTAATGTTGGTGTTTCTTGGTGGTGAAGGTACAACAGAACTAAGCCTGGAAAATTGAGGCTGATATGCAAAGTAATGTTATCCTAAGGTTGGATGTATTTTAAGGGCTCTTGCCTGTTTTATCAAAGGAAGGATTACCTAATGTGTGCAATGGTTTACCTAGTCCATCCATCCATCCACCTACCTCCACCCCCTTCTAAAATACCTAGGCATCAGCAATCAGGCAACAGAGAGCAAAGAGGCTTTAGTTTTCTCTTGTGATGTGTGCCAGAGAGTTCAGCAGTTCCAGAGAATGCAGAAAGCCTAGGCAGAGCAAACAAGCCCCCTTCGTGCTCAGCTGTGTTACCCAAGTTCTTTCCCCAATAGGGGAAATGTGTGCACACCAAAGCCTCCCTATAAGAGGTGCCAAGTGGAGGAGCAGTAGATGCAGACTGGTGCTAGTGACTGGCATCATAAAAGTCACCCTAAGTTTATCATGATCTAAATGGAAGACAAACAAAAATAAATGGATTGGCTTCTAATATGCGTTTACAACCTTGCCATAACATGTAGAGCCAAATGATGATTGGCTGCATTGCTCCCTGTAGTAAGTGGAGAGAGTTCTTTCAGATTCCAAGGAAACTTACAAGAATGAAAGTGCTTTATTGTGTGCACAAACTACAAGTTAGCTAACTTTCAAAAGCGTTTCACAGCAATTAACCCACAGCATGAATTGGACTGCAAGGCAAGCTTTCAGCCAGCTGCAACAGACAACCTGTGACATTTCAGTGTACGAACAAAGGTGTGCTGGGCTAAGCACGCAGTTATACACTTTTTGCTGCTGATGCCATGGTGCCCTGCAATCTAAACAACCTAAAGTTTCCCACCCTAACAAGTCCAGCTGCAGCTAAGCAACTTACTGATAAGCAGGGATACAGGAAGGATGGGAGATTCCCACAGGCAAGCTAGCTAGTCAGGCCGAGGACCCTGTGATGCTTTTTGATAGCAAACAACTATTCATTAAATGGTGTTCCTGTTCTGAGGTGTCCTTTGTCTGTCTCTGCTGAGCCAGGCCTTCTGACTGAGCCTGACAAGATGAAGGCTTTGCCCACAAAATGGAAGACACCCACAGCAACACTGGCAAGTGTGCCTAGCACCTGAGATAGTCCTACAGGAATTACAGCCCAGAAACATAAATGGGGCAGGCTTCTTGCATGTTTTGCTGGACACCTCTCCTGTTCACTGATCCTTTAGGGCTCACTGAGTTTGGGGGGCTCTTGGAAGGAAACAGCTTGTTGCATATTGTAGGTTTTCTGCAGGGCTTTCAATGCCTGTTCTTTGGTTATATTTTTCCAGGCGTTTGGCAGATCTGCCACTTTAGCTTTGTGGAGTGTCGCGAACTCTTGTTGGAACTCTTTAAAAATGAACTTCCAATAATCAGATGCATTGATACTGGGATCTGGCTGGATCTTCCAGTCTGGATAATACACATGATAATCTTTGTATGGATGGAGTTTCCAGTCTGTATCCAGATTCTGGAACTTTATGTCAGAAGCCACAGCACTGGAACAAATATCATAAACAAGCTTTTCTGACACTATTTTTCTGTATTTTCCCAGTCCTTGAGGCCGATGGATCGTTGCAAAATGCTCTTGATGGCCAATCCCTCCAGCTTCACAGGGGACTTTGCAGAAGGGACACTGCTTCCCACAGCCAAATACCCGCTTGAAGATCTCATCCTGGGGTTTCAAAGACAGCTTAGATAGTTTGGATTGGATATCCATGCCATCAAACTCGGACAATATTTGCTTTTGCAAAGCAGGAAGGAACTCTTTAACAAAATCAGTAAATAGGCCAGGATTGAATGCATTTTTAAATTCTAAGCCCACTAGACTCTTCTTAGAAATAACCAAATCCTTTTGCAGTTGCAGACAAACATCATCCAAAAATCTTGAGAATGTTGGGGCATTTTTGTTCTTCAAGATATTCAGTGTGTCCTCAACTTTTGCTACAATTGCTGAAAGTATTGTTTCCTCTAAGGTCTTCAGAACCTTTGTTGGTGCATAATAATTAATCATTTGTTTCCAAATCCAGCTCTTGACAAATTGTTCATAGGAATGTATATATTTCACATAGCTGTCAAAATTCATCTCTTCCAGAAGATCCTGCAGAACAGTAAACTGAAAGAAGCTCCGATTAGAATATCTGATGGAGTGTTTACTCTGGAGAAAGTTGTTCACTATTTCTATTCCAAGCTTTTTCTTCATGTAATCTTCTAGGCCAGGATGGAGTACCTGATCACAGAAATTTTTTGCTCTAATTTGCTGGGCATCTTTTTTCTGATAAAGATCTTTAAAATTGGAGAGGTACTGAGGTTTCAACTTTTCCAGGTGTCTCTTGGGATCATTTTCCTTAATGAATCTTTCATGCATCTTCTGAAACTCATTAGCTGCTTCTCCCAAAATGTGAATCTTTAGGTCTACTTCAAAGGAAGCTGTTATTTTAAGTTTTTTAACTTTGCCCAGTTCAAGCATCCTATTGATTTTCTGCAAAAGCTCACAACAAAATGTTTCACTGTAATCTCCTTTAGATTTTTTTTCATCAATATATGCAATGCATTCTTCCATCAATGAATGAGAAAGTTGTTCTACTTTATGCATACTTTCATTTTTAACTAGGCACATCAAGTGTGACCAATATGAGTTTATGTGTTCATCTTTAACTTGGAAATCGCTTATCTTGAAGGTTAACAACCCTTCTTGAAGTTTTGCGGGGATTTGTCTCGCTCGAATGTGCCAATCTTTTCTCAAATGCTGTTCAATATTTTTATATATTTGATGCTTCTCCAACTGACCAGTTTGCATTTCTGACAATGTTTCATTCCACATTCTTTCAAACTCTTGTTCCAACTCCTCATCTTCCAATCTGCAATCTTTTTGCCTATATACTTCAAGAAGTCTATCAACCTTCCTTTCGATTGTTTTCAGGTATTCAGTTTGGAGCAGTTCAATTTTTTGCTGGCCCTTTTTAATGCAGATGGTATCCTGCAATTTGCTATGAGAATAGTTTTCAATTTCGTATTTGAGGGTACTGGCACTCCTGACAAAATCTTCTCGATACTTTTCAATCAGATGAAGATTTGTTGCCCCACTTTCAAAGTATTTATCCAATTTCTCCAAAAGCTGCTTTTCTTCACATGATAGTTTGTTTTGAAGTTCATTTTGCCAGTAATAGAAATTAAGTTCGTCAGGAGTAATATTCTCTATCAAAGTTTTCTGCTCAGATATCCAGTGGTGCATCTCTCGGCGGAAATCCCAGTCCCATTCAGAATATTTCACAGACAGATTAATATACGCTTCTGCTATGAGGCTGTTCTGGAAGCTGAAGATGAAATTCTCATGTTTCACGGCATTCCACAGACTCTTCACCCATCCAATAAACTGGGGGATGTCCTTGGCAGAATGTTTACCTAAGTGGTCCCTTATGAATTCGAAGAGATGCTTCTTTAATTCAAATACTTGTTCACTGTACCTCCTGTTGACTGGAGCCATTGGAGGGACTCCATGCCACAGCCCTGGGATGTACCAATTGTGTATTCTTGGGTCATAGCCCATGATATCTGTAAACCTGATGTTCCCATCAAGCTTCTCCATTTTTGCTGCAGCCTGGGTCATTTCATTCAGCTGTTCCAAAAGACGTTTCCTGTCCCTCATGTTTTGATCATGTGCACAAACATCGCTGACATTCTGATGAACAAACTGGCAGTGAGGTTTTTGACCAATCCGTTCCATCCGGAGGAAGGCATGGGCCACAATTTGCAGGATGTCCTTCATTTCAGTGGCATTCTCCATGGCCATGTTCACTATTGTGATGTCACTCAGCCCAATCACCAGAGTGGACAATTCATTGTCATGTTGATAGCTGCCTTCCACCTTTGCCAGCTCAGGGGCTTTCAACCTTCTGTGTCTATCAGTAGGATGAAATCACAGCCCAGTTCCTTAGCCAAATTTTCTCTAACCTTAAGGAGTGTCATGAAAGCACCTCGTGTACATCGACCACAGCTTACAGGAAACTGAAGCCCAAACATGGTGTTTAGAAGGGTGGACTTTCCTGTGCTCTGTACCCCCAAAACAGTTATAACAAACATTTTGGACTGACCCCTTACTTTGTTATTCAGTTCAGTCAGAACAGCAGTTATCCACTGCAGGGGAATGTTGGATGCATCTCCATCAATGAGCTCTAAAGGAAACCCTTCGAGCATCAAGTCGGCTACAATGCCTGGGAAATTATTAAATTGACTTTTAATCTGGCTCCCTTTAGCCACTGAATATTCTGCCTCATAAAATTGCCCCAGCTCGCGCATGAAATGCTCAATTCCTAGTGAATAGGAAATTATCTTTTGGTCTACCTCTGTGATATACTGGCCATCATCTCCTGAAGCCCTGCTCTTTTCTTTGTACTCATCCCATATAGTCACTCGATTTGCTCTTGTTATGTGATCCAGTTTAAACTTCATCCATTTCAAGAAGTAGTGCTTCTCTGGGAAATTCTGCTGTTTGATGCGTACGATAAAATTCGTCAGGCTACTTGGGAGATCACATTGATTTTGTTTTTCACGTAGTTCTGATATCCTGGCAATCAGTTCTGATCTGTATTTTTCCAAAGTCTTATCCCCTAGCTTTTTCATTCTGCATAGTTCTCTTTGTGTTTCTGCCAGTTTCTTCCAGAGAACACCTTGGAGCTTCAGTGTTTCTTCCTTGTACTTCACAACATCTTTTATTTCTTTTGTGATTTGCTCAGCACATTGGAGAGCATTTTGACAGTCTTGGCAGTCTTCATCAGCCTGGATAGAAAGCTTACGTGCCACATCAGCCATCTCTTTTATGCTGCTACACTTGAAAGGAGCGTTAATTATTCTTCCAACTATGCTTCGTAGCTTTTTCACAAATTCTGCCTGATTTCTCATGGCATTTTTCAGTAGTATGTCTGAAGGCTTGAGATTAAGCTCTGCAACCACTTTTTTAAGGAAACCCACACTTTGACTGGATTCTCTGCATCTTTCTTCCAAGATAAGGAAGTACTGAGTTGCAGACCCCTTCAGTGATGACAAGACATTACATTCATGCTCACTGATATGTTTAGCAAATACAAACACAGCTGAAGAGACCTGTGTCAAAAAGCTAAACTGCATCCTGTGTGATTCAATGTCCCCACAGAGATTGGCAACTGCAACAGGCTCAGGAAACAAATCTGAATTCTCCTCTCCTCCTGGGAAGTACCAGGCCATCTCTACCAAGCCATCAGCGATTTTCCGAGGGATGTCCCCATACTCCATATCTTGGTGCATGAAATAATTATGGTGCTGCTGGGAGGGGCTGAGAAATTCATTGAGGAATTTTGACTTGGAGAAATTTAAGTTTCCCATCCGCACAAAGGAGATGGTCAGCATGGATGCCATCACCAGGCTTTCCTCCCTAAAGCCTCGGCTTTCAGCCATGGAATGGGGCCTCCATTTCTTCACGATGTCCCTCATGGCCCAGAGCATCAGGGTGCAGGACAGCACAAAGGACATCGAGGGGGTTCAGAGATATACTTTCATTCGTGTTGTCAGAGAAGAAAAGGGACTCAAACGTTGTTTCTTCTGCAATTCCTTTCTCCTCCAGATCTTTAACTCCTCCCTGCTCAAGTCCTGTGCTCCTGGCAGTCACATTCAGTGCCAGGACCTTCCTGAGAAAATGCCATGGCAAGTCCTCCAGTCTCTGAGGGGTGCATTGCTTTAGACCTTCAGAACTGATTTCTAGGACTTCTTGCAGGGAAAGTTTCTCACTTTTCTGCTCTTCTAACTTTAGCTTGGAAAGAATGTCCTTTAGTGGATCACCTTTCTCTGCAAATGATAAAGAATAACTATGTATTATTTTGCTTTACTAGTACCTTGTTCTTTGTGCATTCCCTGAGGACCTTTGTACGTACTTATCAGCCTCTTCCCCTTAATTTCCCCATAGTCTACGTTCCTGCATCCTCAGGATACTCACAGTTTATGCATTGGGTATGTATGAGAATGCTTATAAGAAATCAAGACACCAGCAGTTAGGGAAAGGTGCAAATACATGGGAGATTGATTCTCCAAAGGTGGCACAGACATGAATGGAGCCAGCTTCCATTACAGTTTAGCCCAGAAAGCATAGACTAACATTATATATAAGAAATGTATTGTGCCTTCTCTCTCCTTACATTGCTGAGTAAAATGAAAGAGGCATGTCATCTGGATTCACTAAAGAAGGATCTCTAAAGAAGCTAGCATTAGCCATAATGTATATATTGTTTACCCCCCAAATCTCATCTTATGTATCCAAGGAACTCCAAGTCTGCTGTTAGAACTAATTGTGTTACTTAAGAGGAGAAATATTAATTTGCAATTATAACAATGCATGAATGGACATAGATTACATATCATTAATGGTTGTAATTAATGACACAAGGGATAACTCATCACTTGTCTCTTTTTCAAATATCTTAATTTATATGGAGAGTTTCAGCAATTCTTATTTATTTATTTATTAATTCAATGATCCTGGGACCAATCCTTAAATACTAAGGTGTGCTTCTGGTTCTGACCATTAGGTGAAGCAGTCTGGATCCTGAAATATAGAATCACCAGAAATAAGTGGGAAGATTTTTCTGAATTGTACCAACCAGATGGGTGGCTGCAGGTTTGACTCTCTTCTAAGAATAAAGTCTCCCTACTCATTTAAAAGAGCATGTCAGGGAGATGGCAAAACAGGACCTTCCCATCTCACCTACAGACTATCTTGTCATAGAGCATACACTTTTGGAAAATGTCATTCCTGCCCTATTAAATAGAACAGTTCTTTTAAAAAGACTCCAGAGAATGTGAACTACAATCTGACAGTAAGGTCAGTGAATGCATGGGACTGTAACAGCCACGCAGGACCATCTCCATACAAGAACAGATACAAATAAGCTGTCCAGAGACTCTAGTATTGGATGGCATATAAAAACTTTAAATGAATAAATAAAATTAACCCAAGAAGATCCTGAAAGAAGCCACTGTTGCCGCATTTGTGAACCCAGTTCAGAAAAAGAGAATATATCCCTCAATCCAAGAATATTAGAAAATGTCACTCACCATCTGCTAAATATTCAGAAACAGGCTGCAAGCTTGAGAACTCATGCCTTAGTTCTTCCAGGCAGTGTAAAAAAATCTCCTGCCACGGCATTGTTTTCTGCAGTATTGTGTTGATCAGGCCTTCTACTAATTCTTTTGGATCCTTTATTTCACTCAGGAAGAAGTACTCTTGCTGTGTGAGGAGTAGATGTGAGTCCACTGCAAGCAAGATTCGCTCTGGATTTGCTTGAATAAGAGCTGCTAGTTTCCTCCTGGCTTTCTGCATACGTTTGCAGAGGTCTTCTCCAGAAGCCATGGCTCCCAAACCAGTAAACCTAGTGGTGTGGGGGGGACAAAACACATTGTACATTTGAGACATTGCATAATTAGAACTCAGAATGGAGATTTTCTGCACAGCATTCATGCAGATTATTTTTGGGATAATGTGCCCAAATGGTTTTGTTCACACAGTCTGCCCTGGATCATCCTAGATTCAAACAGGTGGAAGATTACATGGGCCTTGAAGGAGAGAAAGGAGCATTTAAGGATGTACATTAACAGTGGCTTAGTGGCCGGCCGGCCTGCCTGCCTGCCTGCCTGCCTTCCTTCCTGCCTTGGTGACTTTGACTGGCCAGGCTGATGGAATTGCAGGCTTTCTGCCAGAGGAAATATGGAGAACATTGTGACAATGTTAGTAGTTAGGAAGTTAGGCTATTTGGGCCAGTCAGCCCTTCAAATCAAGCATGCCTTCAAAACAGAGCATGGTCCTCTGGCAGCTCTTCAAATAGAGCTAAGGATCTTTCTTAGACAACAGCAGTGTCGCTCAAGCTAATTCTGTTTAGTACTGTGCAAAAGGAGGATGAAAACACTATGATGGAACAAGCCAAAATGAAACGATAGTACCAGAAGATGAGATTCCAGATTGAAAGGTACTCAGTGAGTTACTGGGGAACAGCAAAGAACACACACGAATAGTGCTGTTGGTATCATGCAACTAGAGCAACACCAAAAGAAAGGCTTTGACAGTGTGGATCATGAGAAGTTATGGATGGTCCTGAATGAAATGGGTGTGTTACAGCACTTGATTGTCCTGAACCATAACCTATAACATGGGCAGGTAGCTATTGTTTGGACAGAATACTGAGAAACAGAAAGGTTTCTCATAGGCAAAGGTGTCTGATCTATTTTATCTCCCTATCTGTTCAACCTGTACAGAAGATATTATACGGAAAGCTGGATTAGAATCAGAGAAAAGAATGAAAATTGGCAGAAGATCCATCAATAATTTAAGATATGCAAATGATGTCATGCTACTGGCAAAAGCTGAAATATCTTGAAACAATTCATGATAAAAGTGAAAGAAGAAAGCACAAAAGCAGGACTGCAGCTGATTATTAAGAAAACAAACATCTATTGTATTCCTAATCACATATGTCCTGACAGACCATTCTGTACCTTAAGGGGCAACCACTGAAAAAGTCCTCTGGGTTGTTTATATTAATCTTACAGAAGTAGACTTCAGAAAATTATCCCCAGAGGACCTTAGTTAGAGAGGCAGAATGTAGGCTTTAAAGGTAATTACCTACACTTTGTACTGCATTCAGAAACTTAGTGATATCCAGTGCAAAGATTTTAATATAGGTGATGTGTGATCCCTCCATGATGTCCCAGAGACCAGCCTGGCTGCCATATTTTGTACTAGTTACAGTTTCTGAAGTGGGCTGGGCACAAGGGTGTAACCCCATGTCGTGTGCATTGCAGAAACCAAGCCTAAAAGCTACCAATTTGTGCATTTCAGGTCATTCTCCTCTAGAAAGAGACAGTTGGCAAAAATGGCCAAAACTGGTAACGGACACTCTTGACCACTGCTTCTGTCTGAGCTGACATCTGAAGGGCCAGGTCAAGCAGCACCTCCAAACTGAAAACTCAGTCTTCCATAGGGACTGTGACTCCATATGAAGGAGACTAGTATTTACCTTCAGAAAGCCTCTGGGAAGACCTACAGTGTGAGTAGCTGGCATTTTCATATCTGTGTTGGCTTCCTGCCCCTTGTTAGAGCAAATGCTACCCCTTGCACAAGTGTGTAAACATTCTCAACATAACTGGGACATGGCCAGAATTGGGGTGGATTAATACAAGCTTAGTAGCATATATGAGTCCCTGAGACATTCCCGGGTGGGCTTTCAATGCAGGTGGATCCAGAAAAGTCCTGCATACCAGGCTGCTATTGGGGCCTTGTTTGCTGCCACTTGCAGGGGTTTCCTGCAATGTTTAGCTTGAATCGGTCTTAATTTCTTCCTGCTTATAAAATCAGTTGCTTCTTCCACTGGTGCATTCACTGTATTCTGAATCCTAAAAAGTGTTTTCAGTTGGTGGTAGGTGGGTATAGAGAGATGGAAGTGATTGTGATGGAGTTAATGGGAATGAAATGCAAAAGTATGTTCTCTGACAGTTTATTTATTTTTGAATGTATATACTGTCAAATAGTCCAAAAAGGATTCTGTAACAATTCAGTTAGCCTTTGTGTTCAAAGCACTGGAAACCACTTTGAGCAATATATATGCACGAGAAGAGTGAGATAAACAACATATATACATAAAATAAATATGCAGCAGTAATCTGCATAAGAGAAATAAGTGAAAAAGTAAATTCTATGCAATCCTTTGCTCACCCCCTTAGGGTAAATCCCATAAAATGCCATGGGAATTGCCTGTAAGTAAATGAATAGGATTGCCTGGTTAGAAATTCACAGATGTAGAAATTACAGACTCTTCTGACTGGGATGAATGGCAGTCTCTGTTTGTCCTCTGTAGAAAGTGGAAGGGCATTGTTGGAAGATGAGTGAGTCAATAAACCCACTTATGTCATAGCTATTTTGAATAGGACCATTGTATTACCACAATGGATTAAGAACAGAACTAGCATCATTCCCTCCATTTCCAAAATTCAGAGGGGACTGTGGATCCTTATGCAGCTGAAGAGAAACAATTGCTTATCTGAAGCAACACCCGCTCTCCACATATTTGCCAAAAAAGGAAAAGTTTTCTTATTAGGCATTATACCTGTTGATATTAGTAAACAAGAAATGTACTTGATTTTACATGTAATTACTGCGGTGAGGATTGCATTTGCTCAACACTGGAAAAGTGAAGAACCACCCACCGATGAACTGATCCTAAAAAAGATCTTGGACTGTGCAGAAATGGATAGACTGACTTTGTCATTGAAGGAGAAAGAAGATACTGACTTCTATCAAACTTGGGACTCTTTTTATTATTGGCTAGAGAAACAGGACTTTGTATAGATTTAAATATGTTTTTAAGTTATCATAAATAGAAAAAAATGTGGGGGCTGACCCAGCAGGTCCAATGTTTCTGATGACTGATGTTGTTTTTAGTTTTC